CTTTTCTCACCTGGGCCTCCTAGTTGCAGTGGCACTTCTGCCTTCTGTGTGGGCAGTGGAAATGCTGGGGAGAGCTTGAGATATTATTTAGTAAGATGGATTTAAATTAAGTATAAGAATTAAATGTGTAATACATTAAAATTGCAAATATTTTAAAATTATTTTGAAATATTTCAGATACACAAATGATATAAAAACATAATAAATATACATGTACCTACTACAAATTTAAAAAATAAATAATTGCAAATACAGTTGGAAATCCCTATGTACTATGATCTTATGCTTTCCCTAGCACCAAGCTCCTAACAAGCTAACTGCTTTTCCAAACTTTGTGTTTATGTATTCCTGTAAACTGTTACCATGTATCCCTAAACTATATATGTAATTATAAAATTTGGAAACTCCATTTAATTTCAATATCTCATGATATTCATCTTTCTGCACTTTGCTCATTTGTTATATATTATGATTTTGAAATATACATAAATGGTCCTATTTATTTTTTCTTCTTATGATTATAGAATCTTATTGCAGAAATGTTAATGTATTTATCCGTTCTATTTGATGATAATTTGGTTAGTGCCTTGTTTTCTTTTTACTATTACAGAAAAACAAATCCTGCTATGAAAATTCTTATGTATGTTTTCTCATGAATATGTGTATGTTAATCAGCATAGTCTCTTGTATGCTACAGTAACAAACAACCCCTAAATCTCATTGACTTGTCATGGCAAAAGTTTCCTTCTGGTTCAGACTACAAATTCAGCATGGGTCTTTGGTAGGAGAGTTGGGGAATATTCTATTCCACATTGAACTTAGAATCCCAAGATGAAGGAAGTTTTTTCAACTGGTAGTTGCACTATCTATTATATATGACTCCCCAGTTTGCAAAGCAAGTGAGGAAAGGTGGAGAATTCACACCTGCTTTTAAATGCCTTGGGTCTAGCTCTCTGATCACAGCTACAAAAAGAATTATTCTGTGCCCTCAGAAAGGAGAAGAGAATAGGCTGCAAGTCTTTAACACAGGTAAGAGAGTTTCACTATTAAGTTATAGGTTATGAGCATCTTCAACTTTTAAATAAAATTTCTCAATTTTTGTGGAATTTAAAAATTATATAATGTTGGATAGGTGGGATTTTTTTTTGCTGAATATCCTTGTTAATACTTTGTTTTGCTCCATTTGCTAGTTTTTGCTAATCTGGTGAATGTGAAATGATACCACGTGTGAAATCAGTTCCCTGATTTCTAATGCAGGTGAGCATCTCTCCATGTGCTTGTTTATTCTTGATCTGCATTTCTTGTTTTTTAAAAATTTTGATTTATGTCTTCTCATTATTTTTCCTTTTTTTGCTTTTTTTCTTCAAAGGAAATCTTTGTATATTCTGTAATTAACCCTACATTAGTTTTATTTGTTATAGATATCTTATCACAATTTTTGCCTTTATTTTTTACTATCTCTATCATATCTTTTCTTAAAGAGAATTTCTTAATTTTAATGTTTAATTTATCAGTCTTTTCTTTTATAGTTTACATATTTTTTGCTTTGTTTAAGAAATTCTTTTCTACCCCACAGTTATAAAGGTATTCACGTATATTGACTTCTTAAAGTTTTATGGGCTTGCTTTTCTCATCTAAATTTTTATCTGGAATTGGTTGTTTCATGTGAGATAATTTCATTTTGTTTTTTATGGAGGGACAATTTCTCCAGAAGTTCCTCACACTGATCTGCCATGTTCTCTCAGTCATATGTTGGTTTTCCTGGGTATGTGAGAGTTTTCCAGGGTTCTCTCCTCTGCAGCATTGGTCTCACTATTACTGTGGCAATAGCAATAATCTTAGCTTCTTATAATTTCATTCTTTTAAAAGAGCATGAATAATCCCCTCTCCTTTGAGTGTGGATGGAACCCATGAATATGATGATATATCACTCCCACGATTATGTTATATTATGAGGCACAATTGGCCTTAGATGGGAAATTATCAGAGTGGTCTGTAGTGGACTGAATCATGTCCCCCCCAAATTTATTGAAGCTTGAATTGTGTCCCCTAAGTTTTATGTATGAGAAACTTGGCCCCCACTGTGACTGTTAGGAGGGTGGAAAATCCTTTACGGTGATTGAAAGGTGGAGCCTTGAAGAGGTGATTAGATTGTAAGATCATGCCATAGTGAATGGATTAAAAATGGTGGTCAGAGACATGGTTCTGAGGGCTTTAAAAGAAGAGGAGAGTCTGTCTTTCTCTTGCTGTCTCTGCTCTCTCTGCTTCCACTATCTTGCAATGTGAGACCCCTGGGTCACTGTCACCACCACCAGATAGACTACCAAGCCTCAGAAACTGTAAGCAATAAATTTTGTTTTCTTTATAAATCTCCCAGTTTCAAGTATTTTGTTATAAGCAACAGAGTGGACTAATGCATGTCCTAAGGTAATCACATGAACTCTTTAAAGCAGAGAGTTTTCTCCAGCTGGTAGGAGAAGAGGAAGTCAGAGGGATTTGAAGCAAGAAAAGGACTCACTGTACTGTTGTTGGCTTTGAAGATGGAGCGATTCATGTTCAAGAACCAGAAGGCGGTCTCTAATAATTACTAATAGTGACCCCTGCTGACATCAGCAAAGAAATAAGAACCTCAGTCCTACAGATGCAAGGAACTAAATCCTACCAACAACGTGAGTGAGCTTAGAAGTGAATTCTTCCCAAGAGCCTCGAGGTGAGAGCTCAGCCTGATCCGCATCTTATTTCAGCCCTGAGAGAACCTAAGCAGAGACACAGTGGAGATTGCCTAGACTGGCCACCTACAGAGCTGTGAGCTACCACACGGGTGTTGTTAAGCCACTAAGTCTGTGATAATTTATTACACAACGGGAGAAAATCAATACAACCTCTGT